ATCGGCCGAAAATAACGTGTAATCGAAACTTTTAATTAATTAAAAAATATACGTGTAAATATACATCGTGAGTACTATGAATAAATATACTCAAAAAGAGTTGTAGAATTACGCTAATATTCGAGTTCAATGCTTTTTCTTGGTTTTTGACAAAAACATTGTTATTTTATATTAATAATAAACACAAAAATAATCTACAGATCAATCAATACTATTCAATATTCTTTTGAAGGCTGGTCATTAATAAAAAAAGAAAAAAGCAAGTCAAATAACTAATTTATTAGTTTGATCAAGTTTTATTAATTAAATAACTAGTTTAGTTTAGTTTGAGTTGTGTTTATGTAAATTATTACTGAAGTTATTTAAATTGAATTTAATGAATTAATTTAAGTAATTTTTTTTTGGTCAGTTAATCTAATGTGATCAATTTTTGTTGTCAGTTTAATTAGATTCATTAATTAATCCAATCAGTTAAATTAATTTAGGTTATAAAATCAACTAAATTGATGTAATTAATTGCAGATGCATTATATATATTAATTTAAATAATTAGTTACTTGAATTTAATCAATCAGTTGAATTATCTAAATTAATTAAAATAATTAATTACCTAAATTTAATCAAGAATTTAAATAACCTTAATTAATTTAAATAATTAGTTACGTCAACTGAATTAATTTCATCAATAAATTAACTTAATTTCTCAAATAAACTTTTTCGTATACTTCCATCAATAAAAAAAAAATGAAAAGTGCAAGTAAAATCAAAGAGGGTGGGGATTAAAATAATTTATTAATTTTTGAACACGATTGATCTCGAACACCATAAATCTCTTTACTCGCTACTTTCTACCTCTTCTTCGAGTACGAAACTTCGCGTAACAATCAATTTCACAGGGAAACGTGAAAACAGACCAAAATATTGTAACCTAACCTTTCGAATATCACACGTCGAAATGGACCTAAACGTTTCTTTACAGAGTACTTTTATATTTTTCGATAATCTCTCTATTGAATCGTATTTCTCATGAACAAACTCCGTTATCAAATTTGCAAGTCTATAATTTTCTCACTTTTTTAACGCTGAGCAGCCGTTTAAACAAAGAAACAAGATGGCTGTCTATCATCGACGAAAGAATAACAGTTATGAAATTTATCATAAATCATAAGTTATGAAAATTTATTACATCGAATTTTTGTGAGATGTTCTTTGAAAATAATTATTCTTTGAAAGCAAGAATTGTTTAAATCAAAAATTTCCAATTAAATATGCTTAAAAATTAATAATGTAGGATTGAAAATAATTTTCAAATAATTAGATAAGCTTCAAAATTTTTTCTTGCAATATTTGTTTCAATAATTTTACAAGTTTAAAGTGGTTGCATTATCAGTAAATCGTACTTATAATAAACTTGTAATTTACTAATTTTAACAATTTTTTATTTAGTCAATGCTTATACATTGACTGTGTCTTTCTGAACAAATGAATTTATTTTAAAAAATGATTAAAATATTTAACAATCGCATTTATCTATTACATGTATCAGTACACTCGTTTTATTTGGTAAAAAAGGGGCCAATTAACGAAAGGTGAATTTTAAAAGGTCTGCTTCGATTGTCATATGAATTTTTTAACGATGTTTTATTATCAGAATGTCGCTGTAGAATAAAGTAAATCATTTTATTTTGTACCTCCATCTCGTTCTTGAATATGTACTGGGCTGTTATTTATCAAATGGCGAAGTTGAAAACGTAACAACTTTGATATAATTTGATGACACGAAAGTATCACAAAATGGCGCTTATGGTATATCAGTTCGAAACATAAAATTTAATAAAAATTATGAAATTAAGCTTTAATCAATACAAATTTAAGCTCTTAACTTATACGTAGCAACACAAATCAAAACCTGTTAGTAACATTATAAAATAGCACATAATCACATGACTTTGAAGCTTAAATAAAAATGATCATAAGTGTCAACAAAAATGGCCATAAAAATTAATGTAAATGAACATAAAAGTCAGGTAAAAATGAATCAAAAAATCTTTCAAAATAACTATAAAAATTATTGAAAATTAGAGAAATAAATTTTCCCGCCACAAAGTGGCTTCTTCCTCAAAAAAAAAGCACTAAGCTAACCAATTTACTTTAACTATAATATTTAACTTACTTTAATTTTACATCATCTCATAATTTGTTCGCCATTTGATATGCAACGACCCAGTAAATATTAACAATTCAAACCTAACTCATCCTTCAAAAAAACAATTTAAAACACGTATATTAGATCTCTCGTTTTCCTTGTAACATCCCGAAAGAGTTTTGCAATCACGACGCATATCAAATTATATTTATATACAAAATGCAGATAGCATCGTATTATTCAGCAATAATCCACACATCATTTCGAGGATGCCTGTTTAAGAAAGAAGAAATATTTAGTAGTATAAAATCGAGGAACACGAGCGAAAAACCTCGCTCCTCGTATCGAGCAACTATTTAAGCAATATCCTCTTTAGTACTCTTGATACTAGCTAAGTATATTTAAGTATACCAACGATCGAACGTGTTCAACCATGGTGTTAAGTTTTCGTAGAATTCTTAACGAAGCCGTAAACGAACTCACTGTATCGTGTTCCTTCGTATTTATTTTTTTAAACAAGTTATTTTGTCCATGACAGATTTTAGAATTTAAAGTTCATTTTGGTTACTCTTCGTTTGGGCTAGCAAGATTTGAGATATTTTGGATACTACTATTTTACATATTTGAAGGGTTAAAATTCTAAAAAGGTTTGGAATTCAAAAATTTTGTGTTTGGAAGATCTATAAATTCTAAATTTCAAAACTCGAGATTCTAAAATTAAAAAACTTGAGAAGTAATGAAGTGTCAAAACTCTAAAACTTCAGAATCCCAAAATTCCAAAATCTTGGAACTGCAAGATCCCAAAACCCAAACTCCCAAAAATCTGAGATTCCAAACACCCAAAAACCCAGAAACCCAAGAACCCGAAAACCCGAAAACTCAAAATTCCAGAAACCTTAAAACTAAAAATATCAAGAACCCGAAAACCCAAGAACCCGAAATCCCAAGAACCCGAAATCCCAAGAACCCGAAATCCCAAGAACCCGAAATCCCAAGAACCTAAAATCCCAAGAACCCAAAATCCCAAAATTCCAAAATACCAACATCCCAAAATCCAAAGAACCCGAAATCCCAAGAACCCAAAATCCCAAGAACCCAAAATCCCAAGAATCCGAAAACTCAAGAACCCGAAATCCCAAGAACCCGAAATCCCAAGAACCCAAAATCCCAAGAACCCGAAATCCCAAGAACCCGAAATCCCAAGAACCCGAAATCCCAAGAACCCGAAATCCCAAGAACCCGAAATCCCAAGAACCCGAAATCCCAAGAACCCGAAATCCCAAGAACCCGAAATCCCAAGAACCCAAAATCCCAAGAACCCAAAACCCCAAGAACCCGAAATCCCAAGAACCCGAAATCCCAAGAACCCAAAATCCCAAAAACCCGAAAATCCAAACCCCCGAAAACCCAAAAACCCAAAATCCCAAACTTCCCACTTTTACCAACAAAAGATTTCAAATCTTGTTAATCAATTTCATCCACCGAATCCGAATAAACCTACCTACATCAAACAAATAAAAATCGAACAATAATGTTCCGAATACCTGAACGGTCATCGTTACATTTTATTTTCAATAAATATAATACAAAAAAAAACAATCGTACGCAGTAAGTTATACACGTTTAAGGAGGAGTATATAAATAAAAGTTATTAGTTAGGTAGATACAAAATATAAGAAACGAGTAGCAATGGTTCTTTGCCTTCTCTGCGACTATTTTCTAACTATACAGGTGACCTGCGCCGAATTGAACATGTTTAAATAATATATTGTAAATATCGTCTAATATTAGAACATGGATTCACGCACGAGATTAGGGTAGTAGTGTTAGTCGATGAATTTCTATACTTTACACCTCTTGGATGTGTTGAAAAGAAGTCTCGTATTTGATTACCTATTCTTTTTCTATTAACTTTCCGATATCAGAAAATTTGAAACGAGGCTGTGACAGCCTGTAATTAACAAGAAAGAGTCATAAAAGACACAGTGTCAGAAATCATCGACGAACGCCTAACAATGACCGACATTCGTTTGGATCCTTCCGAAGCTCTGTCGTGATCGATTGATCCAACGATCGATAAAAAAGAAAAGTCAAAAAAAGAGAGAAAGAGAGAATAGCAGAAGAATTATAGTCGCATAATAACCGATACTAAAACGCGATAGATCTTTTCCGCGGCAAAGATATTTTGCAAGTGTCCTTCCAATGAAAAAAAAAAGAAAAAAAAACAGAAAAAGAATAAAACTCTCGAGGATTCAAGCGACACTCTTAGATCTTATTTACAATTAATTAAACTTAATTAGTCGAGCTTGTCAACTGTACATTCCCCGCGGTCCATCCTCCGAGATTTTGCGTGCTTGAACCAATAAATGAAACGGGACATGTTATTTATAATGTTCAGTCGTTCTTAAGAAAACAAGATAAAGGATGAACCGAAGCACGATGTATGCGTTGCGCGTAAAAGCGTTAAATAATTACTGTAATGTATGCAAGCGCTAACACTGTACTTTGAAACGAATCGTAAGCGTAATTATTCAACCTGTCAAATATTGTACATTCGCGCCGGCATTGTCTATACATACGTACATGATTATTATTATTACTATTATTATGATTATTATTATTATTGCTATTACTATTATTGCTATTATAATTATTATAAAATACTAGTTAAAGTTGAATATACTATATCTACTATTTATTGACGTATTTCATTTCTTCCTGATCTCCGACCTGTACCACCATTTTCTTTCTCACTACTCAAACTATTAAAAAAAATAAACCAAAATGTCGGTACATTTCGCCCTAGGATAAAGGATAATCATAGGCAAGAATAATTAAAATTGAACACAAGGTATTTTACCATTATCCTCTCAATTGCCATTTTTAATTATGTTTCCGTTCATATTTGCATACATTTTACAGGTAGAATGTTTATTCCTGTTAACAAACGTATATTCAGGAGTTAATATTATAAGTGATGTATCTACATTGCACTTTGTTCTGAAGATTTCTTGAAGTTATCTAACCTTGATTCTACTGTTCATTCAGTGTATTCATAGGTTATTGCATTCATGTATCTTATGCTAGCTTACTCTTACTTTGTACTCAGTTATTCAGTCTTATGATATAGTCTTTTTAACCTATTAACTGGATGTCTATAAAAATCAGGAAATGTTTATGTTATTTTTCTGCAAAAGCACAGTAATACCTCCAATAGCATTGATGTTAGGTCCTTGTAATACATTGTTTCTCTTAAATGTCTAATTAGGTCTCCTTTTGTTCAGATTTGATGGGTACCTCTTTTATTGCAATCACTACCTTAGATCCTTCCATGTGATAAAGCCCACAAGAATTCTCAACTACTGTTGCACTTTGTGCAAGTAAATATGGAGATATCTATGATGACTCATGTCAACTCACGTCGTGCAAAGGGTCTATTGAATATTCGCCCCCTTTGTTTGAACATTCTGACGGTGACGTTACCGGTTGTATGTTATTAGGCGTTGGCGATGGAGACGAAAAAAATGATTGTTGCTGCATAAGATTTTGATGAAAGGAGTATTGTGGATAGAGAATTGAAGAAAGTGATTGTTGATTACACCTAACTTCTGCAGACAGCACCAGATTGCTCAGTGCAAGCTTAATTTGCGACTGTTCAACTTTTGGCAACTGCTTTGTCATTCTTGACATGCTTAAAAAGAACATATCAGTGTCATCTAGAGTTTCTAAGAGGCTAGTTGTTTTTGCTGTTTGTGGCCGTGTACTCTTTCCTTCATACTGACGTTTTCTTAATGCAGAGCTTTCTTTCAGTATCTGGACCATGTGCTCTGCTGGATTATCAATTCGTAATTTTTGGTTTTTCTTTCGTAAAACTTTTGTTGTATCATAATATTTCTCAACACTTTCATCATTTAAAGCTGCTTCATCATCTGCAGCTTGGTTGTCCTGAACTCGTTCATTTTCTGTATCTAAGTCAATGGGTCCTCGTTCCAACTGACGAAGTGTATTTTCTTCAGCTTCAGAACCTTCTGATAGATCTTCTGGTTCAGCAGTCAAATTAGAAGAAGCCTGAGACTCGTTTAAATTGGAAAGAGCCAGAGACTCGTTCAAACTTCCATGTGTTCTATAACAAAAAAGTATTGAATAGAAACAGTAGGGTAGAAATAAGTTAATGTATTTATATTCACCTTCTGCTTTCTAAGAAAGGTATAATAAATGACATTTGCTGCTCGTACTTCCAGGAAGATTTTTTTTTGAAAGACATACCATTTTTTATGTCATCACGCCGCCTATTCCTGGCATTGCAGAAACATCTTCTTAACTTATCCCACGATTCTTTGGCCTTATTTCCTACAAGTGCAATATTAAACTTTGAAATTTATGTATGTTTTAAACTGGTTTTATCAACAGATAACACAAGGATAATACAATTAGTTACCTGGTATTTGTAACTCCCTTCCAATTTCCTCCCAAGCTGCCTGACGAATGTGTTGATCTCGATAATCAGGCAGTCCATGATTGTACAGTACTTCGCGTTCTCTGACCTTTTCTATTAATAATTCCTCCATTTTTAAATAAACAACAAATTGCAAAAGTAGGAATACTTGAGGTTACGTGAGTTAAAATGTGTGACTATATGTATACAAAAATGTGGTATCACGTGTTGAGTCGAGGTTGAGGACCTCATACGGGGAAATCGAGAAACTACAGACAAAACTTGACAATTGATTTTATTGACATAAATTACATAGGAATACAAGACCAATTAATTTCGAATTATTTTGACTCTACTATCATCAATTTTTAATCATTTTAGGCTAATCCTAATTAGCCTATGGGTTCCAGTTTTATATTCTGCCATCTAGCGGTACAAGATGAGAACTAATTAAACTGCAGTTTCAAAAGTGTGTAGTTCACCCTGTTTGTTGGAGAGATGGCGCTGAGTGCATTATTTTCAAAAAGCGCGTACACATGAGAAATTTAAGAATGTAACTTTTAATATACTTTCAACTTTTTAAATTAATTATTCTCATTCCTGATATTTAATTGTACTTTAATTAAGAATATAAATTTTAATATAAAATTCAGTTATAACTCAGTAAAATTAGTATAAAATTTATGACATGGAATGTAAAGCAAACACCTATGAGAAATCAGGTTTCCACGATGTTGGAACTTGAGATCATCTGAAACAATCATTAATGACATCAGTGATCTATATCTCGTACACGTCAATAATAAAACATGCAAATATCGCATTACATTTTTAAAAAAACGTAATTGCTCGTAACATATTTTCTCATCATTTACATTTTTCACTTTTTGCAATATACTAGTAAAAAAGAAATTGTGTTCTTAAAAAAATGTAAGATTACTACCTTAAAAAATATAAAATATGTACAGACAAAAAATGCAAAAATCTATTTTTAAAACATTTGCATAAAATATTTGTCCTTTCAGTGTTTTGTACAGTGTAATTTGCAATTTTCATTCAAAGCTCAAGAAATGCATTCCTGATAAAAATTAACACTGAAAATTATTTTTGAAAATCTGTATGCAATATGTTTGGTGAAAAAATATAAGGAAATGGTTATATTGGAAATAAAAAATGAGTTACAAAAATTGACAAAGCTACAAATTGTATTGATCAATTGGGCGTTAGGGTGGGGAGGATTAAGTTATGAGGAGGTATCACAATGCGCGCATCGATCAGTGTGCGCCGAGTCGTCCTCGCGGCAAGGTGGGTTGAATGTGTGTCTATGAGAATCTTCTGTGTGTGTGAAAACAAGCAAAAGAGAGAGGGTCAGAACAAAGAAAGAGAGTTGCTTTCGTCCGGTACTGTGTTGTGCAGTGAACACGTGTGCGTGTGCGTCTTGTCTCTGGTGATCTAGAAAACGTGCCGAACGTCCGGGTGAATCTTGCAATGTCACGAAATTAATCGTACAGGAAGAAAACGAAGTTTCTTTCTAATTTCTCTTTCGAGTATAACTTTCAAAATATCAACTTAACCTCTGAACTTGCAACTTAGAACATATCTTTATGCACCACGTGCTGTTTTCTGGATCTAAATATTCGTAAGTACATGCACATATGTTTATTCGTACGGTATATTCGTTTGGAACAGTTCCTTCTTACAGCTGTTGTCAAATTGTGTCTATCCTTATATAATTTGTTTATGTTTCTCAGGTGCATACGTTTGTAAAATTGAACGCATTTATCATTTTACGTAAACTGAACGTTATGTTGAAATTTATGTTTATTGACTTTTTTTGACAGTCAGCAGACTTTCAAAAATATTAGTTAAATTGAGAAATTTACTATTTTAAAAGATGTGTGCATAAATTTAATAATTCGAGTAGATTTGTAATAAACATATGATTCGTTTGCAATTATTTTTTTTTAAACATTGTATGCAACTAAATAAAACGACTAAAATAAATTTTCCAAATATGCTTACGTTTATTTTAAAACAATTTTAACAAATACCGCACCTCTCTTGTTTGCACAGTTTCCATCGAGTACAATGTATATTGTTATTTACAACAGGTAATTTAGAATAAAAGAGTATCGCGTGATGTGTACTTGTTAGCGGAAACAGATTACCCTAGGCATTTAAAAGGCTTGATATCTGTCTAGTGGTATTGTACATACCACAATTTGTTACGCAATGATTTAAACTGACAGTTAAGTAACGAAACAATCTGACCTGTCAGAAATTTGATAGAAATTCAAACACCGAAATTGGTGGAACGTCTAGAACGTCAAGATTTCGAATATGCGATACTTGTTTTTTTTTCTTATATTTATCGTGATTCGACATTTATGAATTTAACGGACCAAGTAATGTTTGCTTTGTTTAAGAGATTAGAGGACAATATAACTCTTAGAGTAAGTAACCCGTAATAATATATGTGAACGATATAATACGTGTCAATATAACATGTGGCGATATAACGCGTGGCTATATAATACATGGTGATATAAATCATGGCTAGTATAATATGTGACGATACCAATTTAATTCGTGGCGATATAACGCATGGATATTGTAGTCTTTGGAGATATTTTGCGTGGCAATATAGCGCATAGCAATATAACACGTGGTTATATAGTATATGGCAATATAACGCGAAGCTATATAGTTCATGGTAACATTCTGCGTAGTAATAACATAACGATACAAATCACTGCAATATAATGCGTGGCGATGTAACTCACGGCAATATAACGCATATGCCATATAACACGTGGCAATATAACGTGTGGCTATATAGTGCATGGTAACATTCTCCACAGTAATAAAATAACGATATAATTCTCAGCAATACAGTGGCGATGTAACTCGCGGCAATATAACGCATATGCCATATAACGCGTGGCAATATAACGCGTGGCAATATAACGCGTGGCAATATTCTCCACAGTAATAAAATAACGATATAATTCTCAGCAATACAGTGGCGATGTAACTCACGGCAATATAACGCATATGCCATATAATGCGTGGCAATATAACGCGTGGCTGTATAGTGCATGGTAACATTCTGCACAGTAATAAAATAATGGTATCAATCACAGCAAAACGCGTTATATAATTTTGCAATATAATGGGAGGCGATATAACTCGTGGCAATATAACGTGTAGTAGTATAGCGCGCGGCTATGTAGCGCGTAATGATATAACGCATAGTATTATAAAACGTAGTAATATCGCACGTGATGATCGTAATGCGTGACAAGACAACACGTGACTATCTACTATCATATGTGACGATATAACTAATGGCCATATAACGAAACAGTAAGATATATCGTAAACACTTCAAATGTTTCAACTACTTTTAACCGAAATATAACGAACCTTGTTTTTAATTTTTGTATTTTTCAATATTTTTATGGTAGTCTTATGAATGCTGCCATATGTTCTAACTGACGAAATATCCACTTTACTAGTTGTGTTTTTAAAGTTCAAGAAAATTGCCGAGGAAAGGTGGGTTTAACGCGATTTAATTAGACACTTTTCCAGAGAAGGGGATGGAATGTGCGTCGGCATATTTTTACGTGAAAGAATTTTTTGAACGAGCGTTTACTCATGCGAGAGGAAACTTTCGAAACGTGAGTTCAATCAAACATGTTTCTTCATGTATGAAAGAACTCACGTATTTTTTGAAAACACACATGTAACTGTTTCGACAGGCCTTTTTAGTTTTCAACACACATAATGGAGAAGTGCGCGGTCAAAGAGCGTTTCGTAATGTTTTTGTAAATTAATCGCATTACATGTTGCGTTAATGGAGTACCTTGGTTGTGTAAGGTGTTACATCTTTCGATAATTTCGTACATATTGGTAATAGAGAGTTTCTTCGATTAGCATATGTGTTCGCAAACATCTCGAAATATAGCTAGTGCCTATAAATTTTTAGTTCTTAGCTTAGTGGTGAAATAAACTAATTATTTAGAGAATTGTGTAAAAAATTATTTAATATTACATATTAAATTACATATTATATTAAATAGTAATTGTACAAGTCCTGTAATAATTTAATATGTAATATATTAAATTACATATGTAATTACATATGTAATTGTCAATGTGGAAATTTGAGAATTTGGAAATTTGAGAGTTTGGGATTTGACAATTTGGAAATTTGAGAATTTGGAAACTTGAGAGTTTGGAAACTTGAGAGTTTGGAAATTTGAAAGCTTGGTAATTTTATTACATATTTTATATAATATGTAATGTAAAAGTGAGGAAAATTATATGTAGTAGATAATTGTATAGTACCAGTAAATAATTAATTTTATTCTACATGAAGAGAAACATAGAAAGAGTGCAAATTTAATAAAAGCAAAATATTAACAAGAATAATCTCATTTTACAATACATAATTTTCCTACAATTATTTTATATTTGAGAAAAAAGATGAAGTCATTGAAATGTTGGTATAAGTATTAAGAGTACTTTCTAATTCGCCTTTGCTTTAAAAGCATTATGTACGTAAGAAGAATCACGTATTATTTATAGGGTATTACATGTCCTATTTGTAACGTGGCAATGATCCAAGGTGTCTCACGATCATTACACAGTATACAATCGCAACGTACACTGCATTTGATATTCAAATTCAAATATTTTAAATTCATATTATTAAGTGAGTAGGACAATTAGAGGCTTCAGGGTTAGCCTTCCTTCAAGTACAAATTATTTCTTATGTAAAAAACCATTGGAATGAATTAATGAAAATTAAATGAAGGAACTGAAGTCCAATAAAAAATTGTAGTTATGCCAATCGTTAATGTATAGGTAAGTATATTCGAGTGCAAATTTTTCAAGGTGGGCTTCTTTTAGATGAGGACAAATCTGTGCCACGTGGGGGTAATTTTACTGTATACTTATGTTTGGTTTTGAACGATGTGTGAACATAAAACTTTTTAATTTTCAAATTTTGTAGTTTTTAAATTTTTACATTTATAATTTTCCATATTCTCAAATTTCTACATTCACAGATTTCCATATTCTCAAATTTCCACGTTCACAAATTCCCATATTCACAAATTTCCATATTCTCAAATTTCCAAGCTCTCAAATTTCCAAACTCTCAAGTTTCCAAATTCTCAAATTTCCAAGCTCTCAAGTTTCCAAATTGTCAAATCCCAAACTCTCAAATTTCCAAATTCTCAAATTTCCAAACTCTTAAGTTTCCAAATTCTCAAATCCCAAACTCTCAAATTTCCACATTCACAAATTTCCATATTCTCAAATTTTAAAATTCCCAATTTCCACATTGACAAATTTCCATATTCTCAAATACTCAAATTCCAAATTTTACAAGTTCTAAAAAGTTCAGATATCCAAATTCCCAAATTCTCAGTTAACTTCCAAATTTTCAAATTCCCAAATTTGTTAATTTACAAATTTTCTAATTCCCAAATTCCCAAATTTCTAATGCTACAAATACAAATTTCCAAATTTCCAAATCTCTCAAATTTTTACTCTCAAAAATTCCCAAACTTCATACTTGAACTTAAGACTTCATCTTAAATTTTTCAATTAATTTTTTCAAGTTCGAAAATTAAAAAACCAAGAATCTATACTCTCATCCCAATAAGTATAAATATAAATTAACAAATATACCCACTGCATGTCCTCCCTAGTTACGCCACTGCAACCTCAAATTTTATGAAATAACCAAAAAAGAAACACAAAAGGCGAACATTGAATAGCATTAGTATAATACTAAATCACGTAAGTTAGCAAAATAGAGATATAAATATGAAAATAGTCTTTTTATTCAAAGTTTGTGTGTTTTGCAATGCAAGGCCATTTTTACTGAGGTAATCAACGTGTTAATGAGAGAAAGTATGAGAGGAGATTTTTGCGCGTAAAAGTCATTCAAACTGTGCATAAAAAAGTCTAACAGTATGTTACAAAAAAATTTGAAATGTTTGTGCCCATATAATCGTTTAGGCTTCACCTCTGCGTGGCCAGAACAGCATAACCGTTTGAAGTGAAATAACAACGAAACGAAAAAAAGTGACACTGGAGTCACGTGACGTGTTGACCTTGAATGTGAGTTCGCTAAACTGCTGATTTCAAAATTTTCGAAACGGAATATTGTGGTAGGTTATAATTAAATGTAGAGTTCAGTGTGTTCCATACATCATTTAATTTAATTTAATAATATTTGGGATTTGGGGGATGTGGGGTTTGGGGAATTTGGAATTTTGGATATATGGAAATTGGGGAATTTGGAGAATTTAGAAATTTGAGAATTTGGGAATTTGGGAATCGGGGAATTTGGTATTTGGGAAATTTGGGAATTGGGATATGTGGAAATTGGGGCATTTGGGATTTGGGATTTGGGGAATTTGGGAATTTGGGAATTGGGATATGTGGAAATTGGGGAATTTGGGATTTGGGATTTGGGGAATTTGGAAATTTGAAAATTTGGGGATTTGGGAATTGGGATATGTGGAAATTGGGGAATTTGAGATTTGGGATTTGGGGAATTTGGAAATTTGAAAATTTGGGGATTTGGGAATTGGGATATGTGGAAATTGGGGAATTTGGGAT